GCACCTCATCCTCTGTTCCCCATTGTCTGAGGCATTCTCTGAGTACGTCATCCGTTGGAGCCTTCTCCTTGATGTATTCATGGAGCTTGGATGTTTCATCCTGGACAGTGGCTCTCACACTCACAAGTCCCCGGCCTCCTTCTTACGGCTTGCGTACATTCTCAGGGTGCTGGATTTAGGATGGAACCCTCCATGCATGGTTAGGAGCTTTCGGGTCTTAACATCTGTGGTCTGAATCTCTTCCTTTGGTCACCTTATTATTCCTGCAGGGTACCTGATCACTGGCACGGCATAGCTGTTTATTGCCCGGGTCTTGTTCTTGCCATTGAGCTGGCTTCTTAGGACTTGCCTCACCCGCTGGAGGTATTTGGCCGTAGCCACTTTCCTTGTTGCCAGTTCAAGGTTGCCATTGGTTTGTGGTATACCGAGGTACTTGTAGCTGTCCTCAATGTCTGCTACTGTTCCTTCAGGGTGTGAGACCCCTTCAGTGTGGACTACATTGCCTCTCTTTGTCACCATCCGACTACATTTCTCAAGCCCGAATGACATCCCGATGTCACTGCTGTAGATCCTGGTTGTGTGGATCAGGGAATCTATGTCCCTTTAGCTCTTAGCATACAGCTTTATGTCATCCATGTAGATGAGGTGATGATCGTAGCTCCATTTCTGAGGCGGTATCCATAGCCTGTCTTGGCGATTACTTGACTTAGTGGGGTTCAGTGCTATGCAGAACAGCAGTGTGGAGAGTGCATCACCTTGGTACAGTAAACATTCCCATCCCCGGAATTCCACGAAAAGGAATTTCCTTCACCCGGAATAAAAACCTATGCATTAATATTTTGATTACGATATTACATGTCATCGGAACTTACGTGAGTGGAAATTCCACTCGCCGTAACCCGAATGGAGAGGGAAGGCCGTGGCAGTTTAAATACACGCAACGCCCACCTGATAGGACGGAAAGACACGACGGAAGACACGTTTTCACTTCGCCTTTTTCTATCATCAGGTCCGAAACGACGACGTGTAAGTGAACTTTTTATTGGCGTGCGTTTTACTGTAATTGTGAATGATTTTAACTTTATTCACTTACTTCTCGTAGATCGCGGCACTAGCTTAAAAAGCAGCGCCCACTCGACACGACGTAAGAAACGTGTTTGCTTCGCCGTTTTCATTCATCAGATTTGAAACGACGACGTGTAAGTGAACTTTTTATTGGCGTGCGTTTTACTGCAATTGCGAAAGATTTTAACTTTATTCACTTGCGTCCTCTCGATCACGGCATTGAAACGTAGAAGAACTGTAATGACTGGAGCGGAGCGAGTGAAATGCATCCGTTTGAGCAAGGCTGGACACAAAGTTACAATCATCCAGCAGACACTTGGAGTCGGAAAGACGCAAATCTACGAAACTTTAAAAAACAAGGCATCGATTCAACTCCTGATGACAAGCCACCATCCAGCAAGGAAGCAATGCAAATGGCAACAAAAATCCTTCAGTATTGATCGGTGATCAACGGGACATACTTGCAACTAGCAAGAAAACTGTATGACACGCAGGCCAACATTGTCATCAACCAAAGAATGCATCCAACAAAACAATCCAAAATAGACACATTTTTTTCCCAAGACAGAAAAAAATAAACATTAAAATACTGTGCGTATTGTACTATTGTGATTTTTTGGGATACACCTGTATTGCAGTTTTTGTTATATAAACAGTTTTTGGACAGTATATTTTTG